TCTCTCTCTCTCTCTCTCTCTCTCTCTCTCTCTCTCACACACACACACACACACACACACACACACACACACACACACACGTCACTTGGACCAGAAGTCAGGAGGCCTGGATCCTAGTTCTGGCTTTGTCATTAACAGCATTTCTCCTCTGCAGGCCTCAGGGTTTGGGCCTATAAAATGAGGTGGGGGATCGAAGAGTGGACTAGGGTATGTTGAAGCTCCCTTCTGGTTCTAAAGCCCCAGAAATCCCTTGAGTAGGTTGATAGTGGTGGGCTCCAGGATAAAAGGAGGGAAGGAGAGGTTGGAGATAGGGGATTATATTTAGGAAAAAAGCAAGGTACTTTAGAGAGGTTGGAGGCCCATGTCTGCTATGCAGGCCTCTGCAAAACCACCCCCTGTAGTAGACCAGCGGCAGGACTAAGAGGTCAGTATTTGTTCCCTGTAGTCATCCTACGGGGCTGAGATCTAGGAGCTTAGAGGGTGCACACAGTGGAGGCAGCTGGTACCTTCTGAGCTAAGAAGTCTGAGTTCTGTCAGAATCACGGGATGGACTTGAAGGCTTTGCTCTGCATTTCCTTTGTGGGTCTTGTTTATCCACATTTACTGCGCATGCAGTTTACCCCTATAGGTCAGTCAGTGCTAAGGAAATAGAGGGCAGATTTCTTCTTTTTTAATGGATTTTATGTTCTAATGAGAGAGAACATCCACATCCATTGAACACTGTATGGAACCCTTAGTTCTTGCTGCTGCATCAAATACTTATTGAGCACCTGCTATGTGCCAGATGCTAAGAATACAGCAACAAAGAAGGAATAGTTCCCCCCACCCCTACTCCAAGGCACTTCTGCAGGGATTGACAGGTGATTACTGGCAGCGTAAACACAGGGCATCACTTTGAGGGTGGGGTTGGGGTTGTAGATGACTGAGATCTGAAGATGGAGGAAGGCTTTCCAGAAGAGATGATATTTACACAGAGATCTGAGGGGTGAGTAGAAATTGGGAGTCAGTACTCCAGGAGAGAAAGATTTCCATATGGTTGTGGCCTTTATCCAGATTAAGATGTATTCTTCCAGGCAGAATTTATGGTGTGATAGAAGACAGTAACCCTAATATAGAACAGACTGTGAGAGAATCCCATAGGATAAGGACATATATAGCACTGGCATTGTATAGGGAAGGGAGGGAGGGAGTCCTGGCTAGAGGGGCTGCAGATGTGGGCTGAGCTTCAAAGAATAAATGGGCAGGGATAGAAAATGCTGGGGGGCAAAGGCAGGTCCATCTTTGGGGGCCAAGGGAGGAAAATCTCAGAGTGAACAGAGCATGAGACACCACATGTAGTGGGAGACAAAGCCAGAGCTAGGTTGAACGCTAGGTTTAGAAGCGTGGTCTTGATAAGGAAATGGGGTGCCAATAAAGGCTTCTGAGCAGAGAAGTCAATGTTTAGGATCGAAGTGCCTGAGTCTAGGGAGAGAGGGGGTTAATGTTGGGAGAATAGTAGTCATGTAATCTACTTGGCAATAAATTATAGTAGAAAGAAGATGTCCTTTCTACAGTTCCCTAACCCCTAAGGTATTAAAAGCTATTTCCCAATCCTCAATTTATCAGTTACAAATCTACTATGTTTCATTTGTTCACAGATTTTTCTCCATTCCTAAAACAACATATAATATATAGTAGCATACAGTAAATATTGTTGAACAATGATTTTGTAGGGAATTATGAGTCACTGTTAGATTTGAGCCAATTGTCCTTCATAGTCTCTTAGAATGACATTGTACTTCATTTAGAAAATTATTTTTCATGATCTTTCTCAAAGTTGATAAGAACGATTTTTACTTAAAAGAATTTCCTTTTAAGTTTGTTTATGTCCAAGTTATTTTGGAAGTACTAAAAACATTTTATATCAACATTAATTATAGGGAAGGTACAGAGTTCCCAGTGTTGATAATGAAAATTTATATGCTTCTGGCACAGCCAGTCCTTCCAAATGGCTTATCACATGGGGGTAGTTAGAACAAATGTAAATGGAGTCAGTTTTGTATTTGGTCATCACATCTTTTCTTCTTTGTGGATAGATTGACACTTTACATTTTGAGTCAATAAACAAATAGCTAGTGGATTTTCTTCCCTGAATCTCTTAACTCATAATGTACTGTAAGTACATCAAAATGATTATGTGTGCCAACCTTTTGGCATGGTAATTTAGGCCATTTTGACATATGGAGAGCATTTCTGCCCAATGCCTGATGCCTCACCAGTTTGCCTGGAATATAATTAATGCTAGCAGAGGTAAAATCCCATAGTGAATTTATAGAGTATTTCTGTTTGCTTTCAGGGATCAGCAGTACTTCATTTACTCACTGAATTGAAGGGAAATAGCAAATTACAGATGTTTCTTTTTGCAGGAAATGTGAAAGCACAGTTATTCTGATAATTTCTTAATACAGTGACTTTAAAGAACTTCCTCTTCTCATTGTCTTCTTAAAAGGAAGAAACATTCTCATGTTAAACGATCACAAAAAGAATGGATTTTTTTCCAGTAAACAGGCACAACATCACTTCCCACAATAGATGTTGCTGTACATAGATGTTTTTCTAAAACACTGGCTTTTATTTCCAGTATATATTTAAGGCTAATCACTTCTTTGTTGGTGAAAGCTATAATTCCGTGAAGAATGAAGACAGGATAAATATCACTTGGAGCAATGTTAAATACTGTTCCACGCTGACCTTAGAACACATTTTTAGTTTTGTGCTTGGGTTGTGGCCTGGTGCATATATTGAATTCTCGACTTACACATACTTATATATTTCAGGTTCTCCAGTTTTTAAAATACGTGTGTATATATAGACCTCACTAGTAATTAATTACTCTTTTCTTTAATAAACTTTTTACTTTGGAATAATTTCAGATTTTACAGAAAAATAGCAGTGATAGTACAGAATTTCCATATACCCCTAAGCCAGTTTCCCCTGATGTTAACATCTTATATAACCATAGCATATTTCTCAAAACTAAGATACTAACATTGGTACATTACTATTAACTATAGATTTCATTCTAGATTTCACTAGGTTTTCCACTAATGTCCTTTTTCTGTTCTAGGATCCAATCTAGAATCCCACGTTGCATTTAGTCTATGTTGTTGTTAATGTTATGTAATTAAGTTTTTTAAGAAGGCCATAGACTCTAAGGATTTCATTTGCAACAATAATATCTTAAATATATAGTACTTTCCTGATATGCTTGACTAATGAAGTGGGAGGTAGTAGAACCATTGAAAGACATAGGTGAGAAACTGGCATGCCCATTCTGTTAAAAAAGACAGATCACAGAACTGGATTTTTTTATCATACTTTCTTATGTGTATCCCAAGAAAGCTCTTTAATGCAGGTGATTTCTTTTTCTTTTTGCCCCCTACTGCTTGAATTCTTAACTTTTAAGACTTACTGAATCTTGATTGAAGCCCCATCTGAAGACTTACTTCAGTGGTAATAACTTACACTTTCAGAACCATCATTTATTCCTCATCTATCATTTTCACTCAATCTAAACTAAAGTGCTATTTTCCTACCTCCATGAATAGAGTAATTTCTTTGTTTGTCTCCCACTCCCCCTTTTTTTCTTTAGTGCAGGCTTTGCCATGTCAACATTACCAAATAGTTGTTTTATTTGTGCCTATACAGCTATGGATAATATTGCCAGACTTATTTTTATTAATTACTCAGTCAACGAAGCTTATATCAGTGGGCATAAAACACATTTCTGCTTTTATGGCAGGTTGGAGGATAAGGAAGAAATATTTCTTGATGAAGATTAAAAATCAACCAAAGGAACGGCTGGTGTTAAGCTGGGTAAGCTGATTTTTTGCTTCGGTCCAATTTCAGGGACTTTAGATGGGTTTATGAAAGCAGATACTGACAAGAAAATCATGAAATTGCGTTGTGCTCCGGAGCGGGGGCCTACTCACTCCCACATTAAAGGAGTCATTTGAAGTCACCTTGCTTATGCATTTGGTTATTCCAATGTGATTATATTTGATTAGCTAATAAACATTTGAAAAGAAATAGGAACAGTTTAAAATAGTTCTCTGGAACCTCTTTAGGACTGGCAGTTTTGCAGTTTATTTTAAAGAAAATATTTGGGCATTCCTTTGTTATCTCTCACTTTGAGAGTTCTAGGGATATATTTGGTTAATGAAATTTGATAAGATTATAATTAAGTACTGCTATTTATATGTTTATATTCTGTCTCTCCAGAAAGGCCTTGAGGCAGCAAGACTTAGGTGGTTTTCATCTTTGGTTTACATTCATATATTTGGACAAATAAAAAAGGGAAAAGAATTATAGGGGAATTTTTTTTTTTTTTTGATGACTAAGACAGTGCCTTGATATTTCCATGTTTTCAGGCTGACCTTGGCCCCGACAAGTATCTGTCAGATAAAGATTTTCAGTGTTTAATCAAACTTCTGCCTTCCTGTTTGGTGAGTACAAGTTCTTCTATTATTCTTGGTGCTGATGACAGGTTCACAGTGTTTTCTTATAGGTGACCACAGACAGAAGAGCTGGACATACTCTATAGGCTTGAAAGAATGGAGAGGTACAGTGGATTTCAATTCAGACTGAAATGGCTCAGGGCTAGTCCCATAGATTAGAGGTCATTTCAGTGGTGTTCATGACATACAACTCGTGAAACATGTGTTAATTTAAATGTAGCCTTTGTGTATTAAGCAAGTTAGAGTAGGTGCTAGTCACTGTGTTCTTGGCGAGGATGTTTATATCGATGGAATTAAAAAACGTGTTCTAGCCTGGAAAAACAGAATAATATGGATTTAGGTAAGCTGGATGAGGGAAAGGAAAAATAACTCTTTTGCTGTCTTACTATTCTCACAGGCTAACCAGGTGCCATTTAGTACACAGTTCAATCCCAAGGCCTTCGGTGGAAAGAACCACATTCATATATTTCAAAACAGATGCAGAATGTCTTAAGGAAAAGACTGATCTGGCCAGAAAATTGAGTTAGTGTGGATGTTCTTTATCTGCAATCTGCAGGAGGATGTAAAATGAATCACTCATGGACTGAGCACAATTATGCTGACCTATCTTGTTGAGTTGATGAGTTTGTTTTTGAAGACAGAGTATCTTATTAAGCTAGAAAACTAAGCTTTTAATGAGGTGTGATGTGTAGCCAGGAAAAATGCTGTGGTTTTGAATTTGATTAATTGTGTGACACAGGCTGTCGGCACTGAATTCTAAATTTCTTTTAATAGATATGCTTTTTAAAAAGAAAGTAGTCAGACAAGTGATATATATTAATTGTATAAAAGTCAGGAAACATAGATAAGCAAAAATAAGAAAATAAAACTCACCTGTAATCCCAACCGACCAGAAATATGAACAAAAATGTTTAGTTGTTACTTTTCTAGAATTTTATATGATTAAAAAAATATATATACACACATTTTAAAACCTGATTTTTTTCGTTAATGGTATATCATGAACATTTTTATTTCAATAAATATAGTATTTATATTATTACTGGCTACATATAATTAAAATTATTATTACTGGCTGCATAGAGTTAAAATTGGATGTACCTGAGTTTACTCAACTAATCTTCTAGATATTTGGGTCACCTCCAGTTTTTTTTCTCTTTAGGAAAAAGCTGTAGTGAACATTTAGCTAAATGTTTATATCCATTCTTAATTATTTTCTTAAGATAAATAACTAGAATTAATTAGTAAATAATTATAGGGAGATATTTTGAGACTATATAATATCCCATTCTTTATCAAATCCACTAGTTTTAGCATTCATTGAGATTTTCTAACTCCATTCTCTTATATTTATTAATTGAATTAGTTGGCATTCTACTATAAGGAAGAGCTTCCTATTCTCCCTTCTTTATTTATATCAGTATGGACTCGAGGATTTTATTTTATTCATTGGGTTTCTTTTTGGGGTGATGAAAATGTTGTAAAATTAGATTTTGTGATAGTTGCACAACTCTGTGATTATACCGAAAACCATTGAATTATACACTTTAAATAAGCGAATTGTAATGCTATGTGAATTATATTTCAGTAAAGCGATTAAAATGTCAACAACAACCATTTTGATGTAATGGTCAGCAGAAGCTTCATGATCAATTACTATTTTCCTGGGCTTTTTACTCCTCAATTCACTCAACCCTTGCCCCCCAAATCTTTGCATAGCTCAGTTCCCATGAATTAAAATTTTCATGGTACTTCTTTGAGCTAAGGGAGATTGTAAAACCTGTCTGGAGCCAGGTGGTTCATATGACCAAAATTTCAGGTCACATGAGTACTTCTCTTTAAGTCAATAATTTGGTCAATCTCCAACTCAGGAGGGCACTGTGAATTATCATATGGCATACTCTAGGAGAAGGACAAGAAGATTCATGCTGGCTGCTTTGGAAAAGGGCCAAGATGCCAAAAAATGCTGCTTTTCCTTGTTTTTTCTGGCACTGTGCAGCAGTGTGGAATGTTAGGCAAAGCTGTGAATGAAGACACATTTATCCTGGTTCCCACTTGGCTATTCTAGTATTCGACTGTATTCTTTACCAATTTACAGAAGCAGAATATTAAAACCACTATTCCAAAAACTCAGACTTTCCCTCTCTTTCTCCACACTTTTGCCTGAACTATGAGAATATGCATACCAGAGCAGATACCTTCCCATGTGAAGCTTACATTGTCAGTTATTCGCTTTGTCAGTGTTGTTTATGTTCTTTCTCTAATATAAAGAATGAGGTACAAGTTGGTCATCTAATAACTTGAAAATGCCATGTATTCAGAGAATATCCTCACATTTGTATGCAACTAAACAACTTAGATGGTACTTGACCCTGCATAACCAGATCTTGGATGTAAAAGGACCTAGATGCTGATGCAAATAGATGTGAATTTCTTTTTTTTTGTTTTGGCAGCACCCTAATATTTATCGGGTTACCTTTGCCACAGCTAATGAATCCTCAGCATTGCTAATTAGGATGTTTAATGAAAAAGGAACTTTGAAGGACCTGATCTACAAGGTACTTGTGCAAGTTTATGGTCATAAAGAAGTTCTCAAGTCCCTTTAGAACCTGTTATGGATACTTGATACTGGGGTTCCAGAAGCTAGGCCAGGAGGATTTCATTTTCATTTTGATTTTACTTGGAATTTATTTTGATTTTAATAATAAAAACTATCCAGTTTGGTTAAATATCATTTCTTTCCCCACATGAGGGAAGGCTAAACATTTAATAATTATGTCCATTGCATTGTAGGTCAGTTTAAAAGTTGTGCCTTCATTTGACAAAGCAATACTGAACTATCTCAAAGTTGGATTTTTTTTTTTTTTTTAAATAATAATAGTGAAAAATTCTACCAGTATACAAGACTTTGGGGTCAGCTAAGGTCATGACCAAGCACAACTTCACTGGACTAAAGAAGGGATGAAACCTCTTTAGCTCAGCCTCTTTCTTCCAACTATACTGATTGTTGTATTTTAAAAACCCACTCCTGCAGTTTGGTGTCCCCTAGCCTCTGTAGGTCCTTCCTGTTGGGGAGCCAGTGTGCAGATGTCGACCCCTCTGCTGCTGTCTTATGTGCTCTTTGTTCTTTTCCAAAGTCAAAACCAAAAGACCCGTTCCTAAAAAAGTATTGCAACCCTAAGAAGATTCAAGGCCTTGAACTCCAGCAAATAAAAACATATGGACGGCAAATATTAGAGGTAAGTAGTATTTAATTTTTGTTTAAGTTGCTTTATAATTTTACTTAGCATTCCAATATTCTTTTGAGAAAGTTCTTAGGCAATATCTAAAATAGTTTAGGTTGTCCAATTACTTATAAACTGATGGTATTATATTTTATCCCAAAAAGCAAATATTTGAGACTAAGATTAATTTAGAGCTACAAAATTCCAAAAAGTTTAGATGTTGGAATTTAGTGTCTGATTTTTTAAGAACTTAATTGTGTGGATACCAACTTTTGTGTTATTTTCAGTTGATCTTTATCTTTATGCCAAGATTCTTTAGTTTGTTATAGTATATACATAACCATATGGCTCCCTTACAGAAGTGTGATTGGTATGAAAAGCCTTTCCCATAACACTCTCTAGAGCAGTTTTCTCCAAACTTTTTGGATTGTACAATCCTATCAGTGAAAACAATTGAAGCATAACCTCCCTAATATATATATTTAACTATTATATACATGTACTACTAATATTTTATATACTAATCTCATTCTTAAACACTTATAAGTCAGTTTTAAAGTTGCGTCTTTCACTTAACTTATATACTTATAAGTTAAGAATGAGATTAAAAACAAAATAAATAGAAAGAGAAGTTGTACAATTTTCTTCCAGTCCTCAATGGGTTGCCCTGGGAACTTATATTACCGGTGAGCCACTGTTTATTAAATGGCAGCTGAAAAGTTTGCTTCTTTTTGTGGGATCCTATCATATTTTTTTCATTAATGAACAGCCAGATATATTCTGAGGTGAGACTGGGTTAGAGATATTTTCAGCTCAACCCCTTTTCCTGAATAACTGGCCAAAGCACTGACATGATAACCTTGCTTCTCTGTGCAGGAGGATCAAGATTTTGTCCTGAAGAGGGCTTGGCCTTTTGAGATCAGAAAGTACTTAAAGTAGAGCCTTTTGGCATAAAGCTATTAATTCCAGGAAGACGCAGGCTTCTTCTTTATTCTTTGGAAATGAGAGAGCTTGGCATTGTGTCTCACAGCTGGAAAGCGTTCAGCATCAGTCTCTTTTCCAGAAAATGGATGGGGGTGGCAATTTTTGGAAATCTCAGTGCCCTGTTTGGTTTTATTTTAAAATATATTGACTTAAAAAATAAAGACAAATCTGAATGAGTTGGGAGAGAATGTAACATATATATATATTTTTAATAGGTACTAAAGTTTCTGCATGACAAGGGATTCCCTTATGGGCATCTTCACGCCTCCAATGTGATGCTAGATGGGGACACTTGCCGGCTGCTAGACCTTGAGAATTCCTTGTTGGGCCTTCCTTCCTTCTACCGATCTTATTTCTCACAATTCAGGAAAATCAATGTAAGTTGCTGAAAGTAATGAAACAGCAGGTTCATTATGAAATATAAATTATCCCCATGGCCAGACTCATGGTCTGCCCATGTAAGAAATATGCACTCAGCAGTGAAAGATACAGTTGGGGTAGACCATGCCTTGTTTCTCCCAGAGTATTGCTGTATCTCCAAGAGGCTAAGCCGATATGATAGATGAGACAAGGAGAGGCATAGAATCACTGATTGGAAAACCACGGAGGGCAGGACCAACACCTTTGGTTAGAGCAATGCCTTGTGCTTTTTTCAAAGGCTTTGGAGTTGTGTTTTCATTACCAATTATGAGTGAGGTCACCCTGGGCCTCATTTCTCAGTGAAAGCCTAGAGTAGGAGCACTGGAATTCACAAAGCCAAACTGAAAGAGGAACATGCCTCTCTTCCCTTTTCTTCCACAGACATTGGAAAGTGTGGATGTCCACTGCTTTGGCCACTTACTGTATGAAATGACTTACGGACGACCTCCAGACTCGGTGCCCGTAGACTCCTTCCCTCCTTCGCCGTCTATGGCTGTGGGTCAGTATGAGGTTTGGGGGTGTTTTCAGAGTCTTGGTAGTCTGCAGAGCTACTCACTTCCTTTCTAGAGTCCAGGAAAGATCCAGAGGATGTTGTCATGCTCCACAGCTAGAAATTCTTATCCAGTTTAAAAGTATCCAATAAAAAACATTTGAGTAACTTACTGAAATGTACTACACTGAACATTTAGTGTAGTACATTTGTCAGGCTGTATGAAATAGGAGATATTTCGTAATGTGCATTGGAATTTTGGAAGCAGGAGGATGTAAAGTGAAGTATGGCCGGACTGAGTCTGATACAGAAACAAGAACCAGGATCAGGCAATTTGAAGCCAGTCCTTAGGACTTGGGCAGATGTCAGGAGTCAGAACAAGGCTGGAGTGAGACTTGCAAGGAACAGGGGAGCCATGGGCGGGATACCTGGGAGGTTGTTGCCTAGTAGGCCCAGAGCTAGGAAAGGCAGGCAGAAATGTAGATGCCCAGTAAATTGGATCCAAGAGCTCTCCCAGAATTACCTGAGGGGGCTGAAGAGAACAGGAAGAGTGGTGGGAGGCACTGTTTGGAAGAAGGGCTGTAGGAACTGATACACACTCGTTAGGGACCCCTTTATCTCCTCCACAGCCAGCTCAGAACGTACTGCTAGAGCATAGAGAGGGTAGCACTTTGACCACTGTGCCATCAAAGTATGCAAGTCAGCCCTCCACTGAATGCTAGTTTAGTGTTAAGTGAGGTAGTTCGAGAGAGCAGGCCCTGAGACTACTTTGTGTTCAGTTTGAACAGCTGAAACTGAACAGTGACCTGTGAGTAGAAAAATCTGGCTGCTTTCGTTTATATCACCCAAGGTGTTGGAAGATGAAGTATCAACAATTGGCATTTCGCATGCTGCTTTTGATTAAAAGAAGGCAAGCAGCAAAATGTCTTTTGGGTTCAAGAATTTTACTTCTGTTTAGTGTTTACTTCTCTTTTAAGAGAGCAAACACTTTTGTGAATGATATCTTGAATCCTTCCTCCAATTATCTTTGAAATATATTTAGCTTTCTGTTAGCATGTGGTTTTTAAGCCATTTAGTTTGAGTCATCAGTACCATTGGCGTTGCCAGCCTTCCCCCTCCTCACGTATGCCATCTGTCTGTGCGTGAAGAGTTTTGACACTGTCCTGATCAGCCTGCAGACAGTTGTTGCAAAGCGGTGTCAAACTTTTCATCATCAAGTGGATTTGCCAGCGTGTTCTGTGGAACTAAAATGTATATCTGTTCATTTCAAGTGGCCGTGTTGGAGTCTACGCTGTCTTGTGAAGCCTGTAAAAATGGTATGCCTACCGTCTCCCAGCTCTTGCAGATGCCGTAAGTCAATCATATGCTTTGGTTGTAATCTTCATTACTGTGTCGAACACCAACCACTAACCCAAGTGCCTGGTACCATAATAAAGATTCAGTTGCAGTCCTTGCAGAATGAAAGTGACCTGTTTGCTGACAGTCACCTGCAGCATGATATCATGACCTCTCTGCTACCTCAGTCTGATTGTTTTCCTTTAATCTCAATCTTATTTTCACGTGTGTCTCTCTCTGTCAATGTTAGCATTGTGTATGCGTACATGTGACAGCGCTCCGCTTCCCCGTCACCCGCTTAGGAAATACTGGAATAGGGCCATCTCAAGTGGCTGTCCTTGATGACCCTGTTTTAATGCACTCATTGGGCCACAGCGGTGGCTGGTTCGCGAGTCATTGGTCTTCTTGGAGGGTCTGCCCTGCAGGAGAAAGACAATGTATTTCTGGCCTCCCATGTACTTGTTTATTCATTTACTTGCTGGGTAACATTTATTAAAATCTAACATGTACCAGGCATTGCGCTAGAGACGTAGAGCTCAGAAGACATTCTCTCTTAAACAGAGTTATGAATAGGTAACCAAGAATAGGTTGAAATTGTGCTTTGGGGCCTTTCCTTTAGGTTTTCCATCCTTTCATGGAGAGGCAACAGCGTGGTTAAGAAGGGTGTGTCTGAGGTTAGACAGACCTGGGGGTGGGCCCAACTTCCCCACTTCTGCCTGGGTGACCTTGGGCAAGTTTCCTAACCTCTGGAAGCTGAGTTTCCTCATCTGTGCAATGGGGATAATGATAGTCCCCACGTCAGTGGGTTGTTGGGAGGATTTGATGAGGTGATTCCTAGTACAGTACCTGGTACTTAATAACTGCTTATTAAATGTCAGTTATGATTAATATTGATTCAGCTTATTTTGTGAGCATCAGGTGCCATGCAATATACCCAGTCCTTGGTCTGTACCAGCTTGTTGTAAACAAATATACTGGGGAAACAGGCAGACAGCTTGAGGTGCATGCAGCCAGAGTCCAGAGGAGGTAGCCATAACTTTAGCTTCTGCTATAGCTCAGGTGTCATCCTAGGCCCTGGGGAGGTTGTGATGAACAGAGCAGCCCAAACGCCTGCCCCATGGACGTGACTTTCAAATGTGTGACTGACACTGGTGTGTCTCTTTTCAAATCAGCTACTGTTAATAATAATGTGAACATGGGAAAATAGATCCAATTAGGGAAACAAAATAATTTGCACACGGACTTTTAGAACAGAATGCATTTGTAGTTAGGGAATGTTGATTTGCTCCCCCTGCTCCAGAGCTCTTACATTTTTTCCCAGTGTTCCAGTCCTAAAGTGAGTCCAAATATTCTTTCTTCACAAAGTCTTTCCACCTTGTAGGCTTCAGCCTTGAGACGAACACTTGGCGAGGTGTGAACTGTGTTCAGTTAAAATGTGTTGTCTGGAAGTAAATGGACCCGTGGCCTTGGAGGGGACAGTGATGTCTCCACCTCCAGAGCCAACCAGAGAGCTCTGTGGGGAAGAGTTAACCCTGCCATTTCATCTTGTAACATAGTTCTTAATTTATAAAAATGAGGACTGTTCAAGGAAAGACTCACTTAGAGCCTTTCAGACATTGCCCAAATAGCCATCTAAACTGTCTGACCTGTTTTAGCCTAAACAGTTAAGTATTCCTCATATTATTGTTTTTAATAACATGATTTTAAAGAGAGAATTGATATACTCTAACAGCTGCTATTTCTTTTTCGGAGAGCATGAGAAGCACAACTTTTCTTAGAAGAAAATTATTTTCTCATTAGATTCCAATCAGAACAATTCCTTTCTACTTACTTATACATTTTTATTTTATTAAGCTCTAGTCTAGAATAAATTTTATGCTCCTCTGGAGCAAAAAAAAAAGAAAAAATGAAAAAACAATTATTCTATTTAGAAATATCTACTGCATATATTATTTGCAATATAACGTAAATGATAATATAATAAATAATAGTTTGTAAAAATCATTTTTTAAAAGTATGAATTAATTTACTGCATAGCATGAGAGCACTTTTGCCCCTCAATGGGGAAATAACCTCCAGTACACAGCTGACCCAGTCCCTCTGGTAACTGGAGTGGGGGTTTGTCCCAAGGTCATTCTAGGTCATAAACTTTTTTGAGTGTGTTGATAAACATGAAATGGTAAATTGGGCCAGGTCTGGGGGATATGGTGGGGACTTCATGGGCTAAAGGTGTCTCAATTTGCTTTGATTCTGTTCTGAGAGTGCACCTGTTTTAAGAAAGATTTTTTTTTTCTTTTCTTTACAGATTATTCAATGATGTTTTACTAACCACTTCTGAAAAGCCACAGTTTAAGGTAAAGCAAATTTTATCATTTTTTGGTTTATGACGTCAGTTTACTTAGAAAGTTGGCACTTTTTTAATCAAAAATAAGAAGGTCTAGTATTTATAATAAGGAAAATTTAAAAACAATCTAAATATCCTACAGTTAGGGAATAGTTTAATATTCATAGTACATCTAGTTGATAAAATATTTTTATCATAAAAATGAAATTTATAAAGACATTGCAGTAGCATGGAAAATGATTATTATTCGGGCTAAGGAGGGAAAAGCAGGATATAAAATAGTCTGTAAAAAAAAAATCCATCAAGAAGGAAGACTGGAAGGAAGTATCCTGGGAAATAGCAGTGCTCTGTGGTATTGTGGAAAGAGCAGAGCTTTGGAACCCAAAAACACCAGTTTGATGCCTTACTTTGCTTTTTTAATGCCAGCCATTTATCTAAGGCAAAGTTTCTTAGCCACAGCATTTGACATTTTGGGTCAGACAATTCTGTGTTGTGGGAGCTGTCCTGTGCATTGTGGGATGTTAGGAAGCACCCCTCGCCTGTACGCACTGGATGTGATTAGTACTCTCCCTCAACCCCATTCATCATGACAACAAAAATGCCTCCAGACATTGCCAGATGTCCCCTAAAGAGGAGAGGGGGCAAAATCACCCCCATTTGAGAGCCACCGAGCTATGGGCAAGTACCTAATCTTTGGGTCTATGTTTACTCCGTGTGTGGGGTTGGTGAGTAACACCTGTCTATTGTCATTTGACAGCTGAGATAATCTACATGAATGCCTGGTTAGGGCCTGGCTCTCCACAAGACTCACTGTTAGTGTTGTTTTGGGTAGTAGAATGAAGGGTAGATGTCTTTCCCCTCTTTATACTTCCAAAGAGTATGTAATACTCTTATGATGAAATTAAATTTAGGAAAAAAACAAAAAAGAAGAAAACCAAAAAGAAGGTGGGGTCAGAAGATTGTGTAGGTGACAGATACACTTTCCTCTGTCCTTTTTTTTGCCAGTTAGAGGGATTCTGACAATAATAGTTTATTTGGATCTCAAGCGGAAAAGAAAAACATTTAAATTCACCTCTTTTTCACTGAAACTCCTCAGGAAATGTATGTAGCCTTGTAAATAAATATGCTGTTTCCCCTGATAGTCTACCCCAAGGGTTATTATCAGACCTTACTCTTCCCCCAAGCCAGAGAGTCTGTGCAACAAAGACAGTATGATTTTAAAAGCTACTGTTAATTTCTTGTTTACGCATTTTCTTTCTGGAAAGATACACAGGAAACTGGTGACATTGGTTGCCTCCAAGGAGGGGAACTAGGTGGGAGACTTTTTACTGTGTATGTACCCTTTTACAGCTTTTGAATTTTAAAGCAGATGACTGTATTACCTACTCAAAACTTTTTTTAAGTTTATATTTTTTAAAGACTATTAGAGACAAAGAGTTCAACATGATCTGGGTGTCTGTTTTCTAGGCCAGAGCTCCTCATAGTTTGAAAAACTAAGAAATTAAAAAATGATAAGCTTAGAAACATACCAGGCTATTAAGAGTATCTTTCAACAGGAAAAAGCTTAATCTTGTGAATTCAGAAAGTAAATGTTTAACAGAGAATATCCCTCTGAAGTTATAATTATTTGAATTTGTGCATGTGTTCCAATAAACTTTATATATTTTTTGATTTTTAATTATGATAAAAAACATTGTAGAATTTGTCCTCTTAACCATTTTTGAGTGTGCAGTTCAGTAGTGTTAAATATATTCTCACTTGTGTAGCAGATCTCTAGAACTTTTTCATCTCGCAAACTGAACCTCTCGACCCATTGGATGATAACTCCCCATTTCCCCACCCTCCCAGCCCTTGGCAAACACAGTTCTACTCTCTGCTTTCATGATTTTGACTACTCGAGATATCTCGTATAATTAGAATCATACAGTATTTATCTTTTGTGACTGGCTTATTCCACTCAGTGTAATGTCCTCAAGTTTTATCCATGTTAGAGGATGTGACAAAATTTCCTTTTTTAAGGCTGAATAATATTCCATTGTGTGTATTACGACACTTTTTTTTTTATCCACTTATCTGTTGATAAACATTTGGGCTTTTCCACCTCGTGGCTATTGTGAATAATGCTGCAGTGAACATGGGGTGTGCTTCAATCCTTTGGATATGTACCCACAGGTGGGATTGCTAAATCATATGGTAATTCTATTTTTAGATTTTTTGAGGAACTTCCATACTATTTTTCATAGGAGCTGCATCATTTTACATTACCACCATTAGTTGACCAGGCTTCCAGTTTTTTGACAGCATTGCCAACACTCGTTTTCTGTTTTTTCAGTAGTGACTCGACCATTCTAATGTGTATGAGGTGATATTTCATCGTGGTTTTGATTTGTATTTCTCCAATGATTACAGATGTTGGTCATCTTTTCATATACTTGTTGACCATTTTGGAGGAATGTCTATTCAGGTCCTTTGCCCATTTTTTTTCTTTGATTTTCTGTCCCTTTTTTTTTTCAGCTTTATTGTTGTGATAAGTCCATTTTTTATTTGGTTACTTCTGGTTTTGTTGTTGTAGGAGTTCTTTATATATTTTGGATATTAATCCCTTATCAGATATATGATATCCAATTATTTTCTCCCATTCCATAGGTTGCCTTTTGTTGGTTGTTTCCTTTGTTGTGTAGAAGTTTTAAGTCTGATGTGGTCCTATTTGTCTGTTTTAGCTTTTGATGCCTGAGCTTTTGGTGTTCTACCGAAGAAATCATTGCCAAATCTAACATCATGAAGCTTTTCCCTTATGCTTTCTTCTAGGAGTGTTATTGTTTTAGATCTTTGATTTAAGTCTTCAACCCAATTTTTTTTTTTCAATCCCTTATTCCTACTAATGGTCATTTAAATGGTTAATTTCTAGGGTATTTTTGTTGTTTTTGCAGTCTTGACGTGGCTTCTTTCGTATATCATTAGTTATAGGAGTTCGTTCAGCTAGACTTCAGGCGATTCTCAATGATGGTTCTGTAGTTTAGTTGTAATTTTGAAGTGGTCCTGGGAGGAGGCGAGCACGGCATTTTCCTACTCTGCCATCTTGACTGAAAGCCCTTCAATCCAATTTTGAGTTAATTTTAACATATTGTGTAAGGTAGGGGTTCAAATTCATTCTTTTTCATGTAGGTATCCAATTTTCCCAGCACTATTTATTGAAGAAACTGTCCTTTTCCCATTGTGTGCTTTTGGCACTCTTGTTAAAGATCATTTGACCATATACATGAGGGTTTATTTCTAGGCTCTTTATTCTGTTCCATTGATCTACATGTCTTTCTTTATGCTAGTATCACACTGTTTTGATTATTGTAGCTTTGTAATATGTTTTGAAATCAGGAAGTGTGAGGCCTCCAATTTTGATCTTTTTTTTTTTCAAGATTCTTTTGTTAATTTGGGGTCCTTTGAGAATTACTTGAAATACTTGAAACATATATCATATTTATTTATGTGTTAGTTCTATATATTCATTGATAAAAAAAAAAAAAAATGCTAATGAGCTGAGTGTGCTGGGATTACCAAAAATGGCCAGGACAGGATTCAAGTGCACAGCTTGTAACTGATTTCATTCCAGTTGCCCTACTTCTTGATAACCAACTGCTCCTACATTAAAACCAGGATTTGGGAGACTCGCCAGTCATTTTATTCAATAGAATGTGTACTTTCTCTTCTTTCAGATTCCCACCAAGTTAAAAGAGGCATTAAGAATTGCCAAAGAATGTATAGAAAAGAGACTAATTGAAGAACAGAAACAGGTAAATTGTAAATAGTTCCTCATTACCCTTTGATCTTTTAAGTGTCCCCATCAGCTGCCCAGGATTCACAATGACTTACTTTTAACTGATTGTTTATTCCATAAGCATTTCTTGCATACTTGCTCTGAACCAGGCTCCAGGCTCTGTGCTGCAAGACAGCTGAATACTTCACAGTCCTATTCTCAAGTAGCTCAGCTTGTGGGGGAAACTTACAGGTTTATAAAGGGTGGTCATTGTTTATAATTGGAGTAGGCTAGATAGTGGTGGGGCACACATGGTCTGTGCTCTAAAGATGCTGGGGACCATACTCATCTTCTGTGAAACAGGGAGGCAGGAAGGAACTGGGGGAAGCGAGAAAGGTATTTACGTTTTGGCATACTCTTCTCCCAGATACCCAGACCTGAGCTTGGAGGCAGACAGGCTGAACAGGGAAAGGTTTTTCACCCAAATAATTTGATTCGGAAAAACATGTTAGAGATTTTTATTAATGTAGAATACACTTACATTTGTGGTGAATTGTGGTCTCTCATAGATTCACCAGCATCGAAGACTGACAAGAGCTCAATCTCACCATGGATCTGAAGAAGAAAGAAAAAAGAGAAAGATTTTAGCTCGAAAGGTAAGCCTGGTGTCTCTCTGAATTCTCTCTGTGTGAAGAAAAGTTCTAGTTTACATGTAAAGAAAGTTTAGGTTAATGATGTGCATTTAGTTAATGACAGATTTTGTGCTATATCTTCTTGAAAACTAAAACTATTTCCAGATGGCTGGTTTGCAGCTTTTAAAAAAGAGCGGAAAAAGGTTTCCTGGCTTTCTGGGCTGATTATAGCCTAATGTAATTGGGAGGAGTGATTAACCTGAGATAATAGTCAGCATTCTTGGCTTTATTTTCCCCTTTGTTTTGGCTTATGATTTTTTCACTGTATTAATTATGAAGTCAAATATGACCTTGTATGTAGAGTTTAACTGTGTGCCTAGAAAATATTTTTATTCTAACTCTCAGCTTCAGTGTGATTATTCTTTGCTTTTACCCCCTCTCTCTTTTTATTTTTAAAGAAGTCAAAACGATCTGCTATTGAAAATAATGAAGAGCATTCAGCAAAATATAGCAACTCCAATAATTCAGGTAACTGGTTATAGATTGTAGCAGAGCCCAGCATGCAAAGATCGAGACCAGGAATCTGTAGTTGGTCAAGTGGTCTTGGGTTCTGGTGGCTAGAGTGTGGTAATGAATATAGAAAACAAATTAATTCCGTCATAATGAAGTATTTACGGCAGCATTCATTGGCTCACAGGACCTCAGAGGTTGTTGGGTTACTCAGCCTCTTCACTGATGGTAAAACTCCATCAACCAAAGATGAGTGATATCCATGGAAGAAAAACCAACACAACTTAAAATGCAAGGCCCACTGTTTTTCAATGGAGCCTGCACAAATAGAAGCAACCTTAAATCATGTCCTCTGCTCCAGTCACCATGTGGTAGGAGAATGTGCCCTCCTGTGTTAAGGAAAGGACTCAGTACAGTAGTGTGTGGGGATGGCAAAAAGCATCATTCCAGAAGGGCCGAGATGGTATGGAGAGCACTGTCCTGAGTTGGAAGTCATCACTACCAGTCAGAGCTGCCCCTCACCCAGCCCTGTTGCCTTTGGGCTTCGATGTCCCCATCTTTGGAAATCAGGGCCAGATTGAATGATCCTTTGGGATCATTCTGTTTCTTTTACCTTATGAATCTGGGAAGTAGAGTTCTACACAGAGGAAGGGAGGTTTCATTCTAACCCCGGAAGCTTTGGCTTAGACCTGGAAGGCCAAGGGAAGGGGAGGTTTTTTTAGGCTGAGGAATAGCTGCATATACTTTTAAGTAGGAAAAGGACCTAGCAGAGAGGGAGAAGCCTAAGATGCAAAAGAGAAATTGATGAGATGAAGGGGCTAGAGGGCCAGCAGCTTAGTATCAAGAGCCCAACTGTCAGTCTCAGCCTTCTCTTCCTGGATGCAGGAGCCAGGAGGGGCAGGTGAAGAGGTAGAAATGTTTAAAAGCAGAAGGAAGGGAGGAAGTTGAGGATGTTCACAGTTCATGCCTTCTCTGGTCTTCTCAGTGAAGTCAGGGAGGAGGACATCTGCTAGGGGTATGAGGAGAAACAGTGAGTGACGCATAAGACCCAATGCCTGGACTAAACGCAGCCAGAGAATGCAGGTGGTGTGGGTGGATCTGGAAATTGGAAAACTTGGCATGAGAGAAAATCATAGACTCTAGGAAGGGGGCAAGAATCATAATGACACTACTACGTGCATAGTCCAAGCTAGAGAAGGGTTCAGGGGGAGCTAGAAGGGAAGAGAGGGAAGGGAAGCCCTAGACCGTGGAGGTCCCAGTGAGAATCAAGGAAAGCTCCTCAGATGAGGCGGGGAGAAGAGAAGGCTGGAGGACGTTGTGGCTGGTGGGTAGTTTCAGAGTTGGAAGTCTATCCTCTCCATGGTTGATGGGATTGACATGGGCCAGTCATTGTCATAATTAGGCTGAGACTCATGTCTCCAGCCAGCATATCTGACAGGCAGTCATTCTGTCCAGCAGCTGATTCTTTATAAAGCAGAGAAAGCCTGACTCTCCGTTGCCCACCTTCCTGAGGCAACTGCCTTCCTGCCTGTGAGGCTCTGTGCCAGATGCAGCCAGATAGGATCCCAGGGACTCTAAGATACTGCTGTGCCCTCAAAGAGTTTAAGAAAGCGAAGCAGCAGTTGATGGATATATACAGATTATCGCTAGATCCCACTGGAATGACAAATTTAATCTTCTCCCCATTAAAATCTGTATTAACACTACAAAGCAGTATGAAAACAGGATAGATTAAATTCTACCTCCTTTACCAAGGAAGTGAGAGAATGTTGTATATAGTGGAAAGGTATTCAAGTAGAGAAATTAGGACATTTCTCTTTGTGCTCAGTGTCCATGCTGTGCCTAACATGTCCTGTGGGTAGTGGGTGGAGTGATAGTTGGAGGCTTCCCCAAAACAGTTAGTGGTTTCTCAGAGGCATGTCTGTGGTTAACCCCTCTATCGGACTTCCGTGTGGGGGAGGGCGTTATGTATAAACCTCTCTCTGCCCACTGGGCTACCTCCATGTCAGGCCAGCAGGATATATTCTGGGGATTTCAAAGCACTGGGGAGATGCCGAGAACTGGGAAATATTTGAAATATAACAATATGACTAGGTCCAGAAAAAGCACACAACATATAGGAATATGCATATTGTTTTAATGTAAATAAAGCAAAATGGTATTTACTGAATTTTAGGTAAGAAAAGGCTTAGGAAATCCACAAACAGAATAGGCAGACCCTATCTAATTGAATGTACCTGCCGATAAAATGGAACTTCTACATAGAGCATTGCTGGGTGGATGCTGTGGGCACCTCTCATATCCTTTGGAGAAGCCTCTACTGGACTGCTCTGCACCTGTCTGTCCCCTGTACTGCTGTACTGTCATTGTCATTCATTATCAAGGAATGGGAGTTGGATCAGGAAGTGATATTGCAGCCAATTGTGTAAGCTGTTGATTTCTCAAAGTTGTTTTTAAATAAATCAAGCTGTGGGGAGCAGCCTAGAGAAAGAAGCATACCTGTCCTGGTGTGGAAGCCTGTGGTCATTGGTACAGTCCCTGAATTCTCTGTCCCTCCTCACCTTTTACCACAAGGCCCACACATTAGGCCAGGTGCAGATTCTCAGACAGTGGTGGGGCCCAGTTCGGGCCAAATTCCCAATGTCCTGCTTTGGTCTCCATGGACATTTCTGTGTTTTCTCTTAGCAGGATCTGGGGCCAGCTCACCTCTCACATCCCCGTCATCACCGATTCCACCCTCGACAGCAGGTTTGTGATGGACACACAGTAGCATAGCTCTCTCTCTCTAACCTTGGCTGAAGTGTTTCAGGGGTTAGATAGTGCCAGCCTTCTCCAGAGAACCAGTGGGAGTGCAAATTAGCAGTGTTATTTGGCAGAGCTGAGGGTCTAGATTTACAGACTCGGGTTTCAAGGGAATGGAATAATTGATTTCAGGGCCACTAACCACCATCTACCGTCAGCTTGCTCTCTCTGCTGAAAAGCCTCATGCAGGGCTCCTCAGATCAGAGCTTGTCTTGGTTCATGCTCAGCTGAACAAAACAATCACACTGCTGCCCAGGGGCTCTGTCCCGCCAGAGCTCTCTCCTCAGGGAACCCAGCCGTAATGTCAGTTTTGTCACAGAGTAAAACTGGTGAAATGCCTAGGTGTGGGAGTGAAATAACCACCGAGTTTCTGATTTCCTGATAACTCTTTGTGCTGTTCTGTTCTGCAATGCAGTTAATCATCTGAATGTTTTTCTGTGGCTAGCCTTTGTTTCACCTTTGTGAATTAAATCAGATACTACGAGTTTTGTTTGAAAAATGTAGAAAGAATTTATCTCAGGGAATACTTTAAAAAATAATCTCTAATTCTGTGGAGTGACCTTATAATGCTATCGTTCTTTCTTTCCTTTTTGAACTAATATCTCTCTCCTAACCGTTTTGTAAGCCCCATAAAAACACACTGGGGTACCAATATCTCCTTTCACTTAAATGAACCAGATGTTTTAAATGTCAGAGGAGCTGGTTCTGCCTCTCAGAGCTTGTCAGCTTTGCTTGCAAGAGTTGCTGCAGCTGCTCTCAAGGCCTCTGCTGGGTTAGGGTAGACTCTCGGCCTACGGGTTGCAACGGAGAGTCATTGGCTGGGATTGATATATGAGTTGACAATACCATGTGCATTATGGCTTAAGGCGGCACTTGAGAGCTACCAAGTGCATCATTGCCTAACAGCTCTCAAATGCTTCTAACTGACCTACAAC